TACTCCTGCTTGTTTTCGGGGGCCATTGGCTTGGTAAATCTTCTTCCAGCCTTTCATCCTAAGCATATGCTTATTTCTGTCGGTGAGATGAGTCTCCTGTAAGCAACAAATTGTTGGATCTTCTTTTTTAATCCATTTTGTCAAACGGTGTCTTTTGATGGGTGAATTAAGTCCATTAACATTAAGTGTTAGTACTGATAGGTATGTGGTGATTCCTGCCATTTAGTTATCTTAGTTGTTTGAAGGTTTGATTGTGTGTACCTAACTTGATGTTACTCTCTACTGTCTTGCTTTTTCTTATCCTGTGGTTTGGTGCTGCCTGCCTTTTCATGGTTAAGTTGGGTGTCACTTTCTGTGTGCAGGATCCCTTGCAGAATCTTTTGTAATGGTGGCTTTGTGGTCACATATTGTTTTAGTTTCTGCTTATCATGGAAGACTTTTATTGCTCCATCTATTTTGAATGATAGCTTTGCTGGGTAGAGTATCCTGGGGTTGAAGTTATTTTCATTCAGTGCCCGGAAGATCTCACCCCACGCTCTTCTTGCTTTTAATGTTTCTGTTGAGAAGTCTGCTGTGATTTTGATGGGTTTACCTTTGTATGTTACTTGTTTTTTCTCTCTTGCAGCCTTCAATATTCTTTCCTTAGTTTCTGAACTTGTTGTTTTAATGATGATATGTCGTGGAGTAGTTCTATTTTGATCTGGTCTGTTTGGTGTCCTGGAGGCCTCTTGCATTGTATGGGAATATCTTTCTCTAGATTTGGGAAATTTTCCGTTATTATTTTGTTGAATATATTACGCATTCCCTTCGCTTGCACCTCTTCTCCTTCTTCGATGCCCATGATTCTCAAGTTTGGTCTTTTGATGGAGTCAGTGAGTTCTTGCATTTTCTTTTCACAGGTCTTGAGTTGTTTAATTAATAGTTCTTCGTTTTCCTTTAATTACCATTTCATCTTCAAGTTCTGAGATTCTGTCTTCTGTTTGTTCTATTCTGCTGGATTGGCCTTCCGTTTTGTTTTGCAGTTCTGTTTCGTTCTTTTTCTGAGGTTTTCCATATCCTGGCTGTTTTCTTCTTTATTGTTGTCTATTTTTGTCCTGAGTTCATTTATCCATTTATTCATTGTGTTCTCTCTTTCACTTTGGTGTTTATACAGTGCTTCTATGGTTTCCTTTATTTCTTCTTTTGCTTTTTCAAATTCTCTATTTTTATTGTCTTGGAATTTCTTGAGTGTCTCCTGTACATTTTGGTTGACCCTATCCAGTATCATCTCTATAAAATTCTCATTGAGTACTTGTAGTATGTCTTCTTTTAAATTATTCTTGTGGGCTTCATTGGGTCCTTTGGCATAGTTTATCTTCATTTTGTTGGAGTCTGGATCTTGAGTTTCTGTTCTCTTCATTCCCCTCTGGTTCCTGTACTAATTTTTTGCTGTGGGGAAACTGGTTTCCTTGTTTTTTCTGTCTTCCTGTCATTGTCCTTGGTGTTGTTACTGTCCCTGTACTGTGTGTAATTAAGTATATTCTAGCTTGTAATAATAACAATGGTAATATTGAGCATGGAAGAGTGAGCTGAGATGGAAAGCAAGAAGTTAAAGAAAAGGGGAAAACAAATATACAGACAAGAGGAGAAAGCAGAACAAGGTATCAGACAAAGAGTTTCAAAGGTATAAACAGGGAGTGTTAGTGTACTAATCGACAGTAAGCTGAACAGACAATAGAGAGACAGAGAGAGGATTGAAAATCAAAGATAAAAAATAAAAAATAAGTATATGAAAGTAATATCTATTTAAAAATGAATTAAAATAAAATGGAAAATAGAAAATTAAAAAAAAAAAAAAAACAAAAAACTTCCAAGTTTATATGCAATGCAATTTCAGTCTTAATAATTTGGATGTCCTCTCAATCTCCAGTCCTGGAGTTGGTGCCTCAGATGTTGTTCTGTAGTTGTCTCATCAAAGGGGATGCATAAAGTAGAACAAAACTACACTCACACACACACAGAAGAAAAAAAAAAAGCCCACCAAGTGTCCCCAGTTCAAATGCAATAGTTTCAGTAAGTTTTTCGGCTTGCAGGTGTAATTCGGTTGTTCTCTCATCAAAGGTAGGGAGAAAAAGAAAAAAAAGCGTCTGGAGGCAGTTCTGAGAGTGGTATCTGCAACTGTGGCTTGCCTGCCTGCTGCTCTCAGCCTGTAGCTGGCGGCGTTATTTATGCAGATCTCTGGGGTGAGCTAGCACTCACCTGGTCCCACAGGCTTTGTTTGCTCAGAGTTCTCCTGTGCGGGGAGCCTCTGCTACAGGCTTTCCCTTTCCAAGCACTGGGAAAGGACACTGCCGCTTGTCAGGCCTGCGTGTTTATTTACAGTTCAGTGGGAAGTGGGTCTTCCTCCTCCACAAGCGTCCCGCTCCTGGTTGCTGCCGCCCCGCTCCCGCCAGAGCCTCTCCGGCCCGCCGGCTTGTTTATTTACAGTCCCGGGAAGGATTCCCTTCCCCAATCTTCAGCGCTCAGGGCGCCCCACCCTCTTTCCAGCGTGTCTTAACTGTTCTTTATTGCTTAGTACTCAGTTTCTCTTTTTTTCCCGGGTGGAGGTCAGTCTGTCCAGGGGGCTATGCTGCTCTGGCCCAGGCTTGTCTGTGGGGAACCGCGGACCGCGAAGCTCACCTGGTCCGCGTCTTCCCAAGCCGTATGGGCGCCGGCCACTGGCGGCCCGGGGGCCTCCTCGGTTTCTCGTTAACGTGAAGTGGAGAGTTCCTGCACCGGCTGGAGATGTGGAGGAGTCAAAGTTATGCCTTTTTCTCGGTGATTATGCCTGCAAAGTGTGTCTCCAGCGTCTCTCCAAGATTTCAACTTATAGGAGGAGGCTCGCTTTCCTGTCTTTCCTACTCTAGCCGCATCTTGGAACTCTTAGGTAGTGATTCTTTTGATCAGGAAGAACTCTAATTCAACCTCTGCTGTTGAAAATTTCTTGAGGTAGGTGATGAATCTGCATTCTAAATTTTTCAATCGAAATTTTATCTCTGAATACTCTAAAATGTGTTCAAAAAGATGTTCACTTCTGCCCAAATGACTTACAGTAAGAGAGATCATATCAGTAAGAAGCCCTCTTATTTAAGACAGCACAAGAAAAAATTGGTACACAGAGAACTGAAACTCCCTGCTATTTATTGCCAAAGACTTGATGGCTGGCCAGATAATCACAATCAGACTCTCAACATCGTAGTTACAAAGGGAGGCAAAAAAAAAAAAATAGCTGTACAAAACAAAGTAAGACTTGTTCAAGAAACTGCTTAGGGCAGAAGTCAAAATAGACTAGAAGAAAAAACAAAATATATCTATATCTATTTATCTAACTATCTTCATGTGTACATTTATCCTACAAGTCTAGGTTCCACATATGAGGTAGAACATGTGACCTGTGACCTTTTCCGTCTGGCATACTTGGATTAACATGATGCTCTCCATTTCTATCAACTTACCTGCAAACAATATAATTTCATTCTTCTTTATGGCAGAATAAATGGGCTATACATTTATAGCCCATTAATCCATTCTTCATTTTATCAGTTGTGGGGCATCTGGGCTGTTTCCAAAGTGTGGCCATTGTGAATAGTGCTGCAGTAAACACCAGGAGTGGTATCACTGGATCATATGGTAGTTCTAGTTTTAGTTTTTTTGAGGAGCCTACATAGTGTTTTCTATGCTGGTTGTACTACTTTAATTCTCATCAACAATATTTAAGAGTTCCTTTTTCCCTACATTCTTGCCAACATTTGTTGTGTGTATTATTGATGAGAGGTAGAATCTCAATGTCCTTTTTATTTAAAATTTTATTGATCATTTTTATCATTAGCAATGTATTTCTTTATTGTTGTTGGATGGGAGTACATTGTAGCATTTACATAGGTTCTTACAATGTATTAAATTATATCCTTAATATGAATTCACTCCTCTACCTAGTTTCTCACTCATTCTCTCTTACCCACAATTTCCTGAATAGTTCAAACAGGTTCATTTTTTGCAATTTAGTACATGTGTGACACAGTTTTTGCACTGTCTTTACTCGATCCTATACCAACCTTTCCCCATCATCTTCCCCCTCCCACTAGTCCCATCCTTCCCCCCCCACCCCGGGCCCTCCTGTTCTCTGATTTTGTAGAAGAAAAAAAGAGGACAGTAAAAACAGACAAAAACCATGGAACATTATAGCTTGTTGAATAAAAGTAGCTATACACAGAAGAAGTTTCCTTAATGATAAGTCATCCATTTAATAAATATGTATGATGAAACTAACCTGGCTTATTCACTCTAATTATTCGCATTCCTAAATACCCTTGAGTCCTTTCTTATGGTAGGTATTCAGATTACCATATTCATAAAAAAGATCACTTGTATAGAAGAGTACATCACAATAAAAAATTAAGATTCTTGTTTCCCTAAACCCTTCTGTGTTGTTGGCGTCCCTTTAGTGTGACCAGTGTTCATAAATTGCTACCAGTATTTTGAGTATTAGGTCCTGTATTCCAACATATAAAGAAGAACATGTAGTGTGACTATTTGAGCCTTATTGAGTATGGCTAGCTTCAACTTAATGATGATGTTCTCCACAATTAACAGTTCCAATCCATATTTACCAATGCGAATGAACAAGAATTTCATTTATCTTCATGGTCTCGAAGATAAGATATCTACATGGCTGTGTATAACATGCACAACATTAAATCCTATAATATTTTGGTCCAGTGTGGAGCATCTGGACTGGATCAGTGTCCCTATAGATTAATGCATTTCTTTTCCTGGCTAATAGAATGTCTGAAACATCTCTTATCATTGTACTCATTTTTGTAATTTTTTCATCCTTGAAACTTGTCTGTCACAGGTATCATATTGCTAAATTCAATTCAGTGGGTTGTTGATTTTTGTGGGGTGAGATTGTTTGAACTCCCTGTAAATTTTTTTTTTTTTTTTGTGGTACTGGGGCTTGAACGCAGGAACTTCACCTTGAGCCACTCCACAAGCCCTATTTTTGTGAAAGGATTTTTGAGATAGGGTCTCGTGAACTATTTGCCTGGACTGGCTTTGAACTGTGATCCTCTTGATCTCTGCCTCCTGAGTAGCTAGGATTGCAGGCTTAAGCTACCTGCTCCTGGATAAATTCTGATTATTAATCCCTTGTCAGATGTATAGCTGGCAAAGATTTTCTCCCATTCTGTAAGCTGTCTTTTCAGTCTAGTGTCTGTTGCCTTTGCTGTGTAGAAGCATTTTAGTTATCAGCCTTTTCTCTTAACTGCTGAGCTACTGGAGTTCTAGTCATAAAGTCTTGCCTGTCCCCATATGACCCAGTGTATTCTGTATTTTTTCCTGGAGTGATTTCACAGCTTTAGATCTTACATTAAGATCTTTGATCCTCTTTGAATTCATACTGGTACAAGGTAAGAGTCTAGGATCTAGTTTCAGGCTTCTGCAGGTGAATATCCAGTTTTCCCAGCACCGTTTGTTGAAGAGGCTGTCTTTTCTCCAATGCATATTTTGGGCTCCTTTGTCCAAAAATCAAATGGCTGTAGCTGTGTGGGTTTGTATCTGGGTCATCCATTGGTCTTCATGTCTGTTTTTGTGTCAGTACCATACTGTTTTTTTTAATTATTACTATAGCTCTGTAATGTAGTTTGAAGTCAGGTATTGTGATACCTCCAGTGGTTGCTCTTTTGGCTCAGGATTGCTTTGGCTATTCTGAACTTTGGCCATATGAGCTTTAAGATTGACTTTTCTATCTTGGTGAAGAATGTCATTGGCATTTTGATAGGGATTGCATTGAACATATAGTTTTCAGTAGTATAACCATTTTCACAATATTGATTATGCTAATTCATGAGCCACAAGATATCCTTCTGTCATCTAATATCATCATTGATCTTTTTCTTTAGTGATTTACAATTTTCATAGTATAGATCTTTCACCTCCTTCATTAAACTTATTCTTAGGTTTTTTAACTTTTTGAAGTACAGGCGTTTTTATATGCTGGGGATTGCAAGGGAACTGGACCTTGGACTTCAGAAGACTTTGTAAGAACTACCACCGTATAAAAAATACATCAAGTATTGGAAGGGAAAAACATAGGCACAGAGTTACCAAGGTAACAGTCTGTTCATGGCAGAAAATCTGCAGCTCTCTCACATGCTTATCATCCCTGAAAGGTTTTCCTGGTTTTTAGTGTGATCCTTCCCAGCTGCTGATCCTGTAGTGCATAGGTTTGGATCAAAATTACTTTTCAGGAGATGTTTAGTTAGCATAGTATCAGTGCCAAATAATTAAATAATTTAAAAGTAGTTATTGGTTTAAAATAGCTTTTAGAGACAGGAAAATTATTTGGACTTACCTGCCCTATTATATGAACATATTCTTTCCTGTAGCTGTAAATGAACTTTGACAGATTTACTTTCTGTTGGATTTCCTTTGTTCAGAAAGTTAACTTCGTGGTAAATTTATTCTGGCATATTTTTTGGAACATTATTGACATGGCCAAGTGATATTATGTATTGAATTCTTCTTTTTTTTGTTGTTTATTTATTTACATGTGCATACATTGTTTGGGTCATTTCTTCACCCTGCCCCCTCCCCTCCTCAGTTTCAGGTAGGTCCCATTCTGCCCTTATCACTGATTTTGTTGAAGAAAGGACATATGCATAATAAGAAAGATAAAGCATTTTTGCTAGTTGAGTAAAGGATAGCTATACAGAAAGATTCCTACTATTGCTTTCATGTACCCATGTGTTACAACCTATGTTGATTTAACTCTAACTGATCATTACCTTGGTTCCTGATCCCCTGCTTATGATAACCTGTTGTTTTAAGGTTTCTGTATTAGCTCCTCTGGAGTGAGGACATCAAACGCTTTCATGTTTTGGGTTTTCTACCTATTCCTATATCTCCCGTATGTGCTCTCCCCTTTTCTTGTGATCCAAGTCCAACCACATTGCTGCATTTGCCCGAGATCTAAAGTCCGCATATGAGGGAGAACATACGATTTTTGGTCTTCTGGGCCTGGTTGACCTAGCTCAGAATGATGTTCTCCAGTTCCATCCATTTACCGGCAAATGATAAGATTTTGTTTTTCTTCATGGCTGAGTAAAATTCCATTGTGTACAAGTACCACATTTTCTTGATCCATTCATCAGTAGTGGGGCATCTTGGCTGTTTCCATAACTTGGCTATTGTGAATAGTGCTGCAATAAACATGGGTGTGCAGGTGCCTCTGGAGTAACTTTCTCACAAATCATACCACATTTCCTATTTCGATACAATCATTATTGAAAGAAGTTAAGGCTGTAGAAGGATTTATTTTTCATATCATCTCTAAGAAATTGTTTTATTTTATTTTTAGGAGAAAAAAAATTATAGGTAAAGGTGATAAATTGGATGACAAAGTTAAAAGAATTGGACCACACATAGAAATCTTCCAAGTGTTCAGAGAAAGAAGCAAATTAAAAATTACCAAAAAAACAGTTAAAGCGATCATCACTCTGCAGGCACATGTCAGGGGATGGCTTGAACGCAGAAGATTTCAACGAATAAAGACCAAGGTAAGATTAAAATGTATTAGATACTGTAATGCGTTTCAAATTTCTTGTGTGGATTCAATTAAGTAGAGTTTTTAATAGTCACTTGTTCAATAGGTCTGTGATTTTTCTACATAAAGTAGTGTCTGCGTACTTTTGATTAAGAAAATGTTATGAATGATCTGCTCTGATGACAGTTTTAGATGGTGCTAAGTTGGATACTGAACAAAAAGCCTGGTTTATCCTTAGCTCAACAGTTAGGGACTAATCTGTCTTTGCACTACAGTTGTTTCTTTTTGCTATCTATTTATACTGTCTTTACAGCAATTTTCTTCCACCTTCCACCCTCCTGGGTACTCTTGCAGTGTATAAAATGATTCATTTAAAAAGAACTATGTGCCAGTCAGCTTCTACACAATACCTGGGCAGCTTTTATAAGCAGCAATTGTGTCTTTGAGAGTAAATCAAGAGAACTCATTTTGGCTGGGCAAATGCAGAAGAACCTGAGAGGATGGATTTTGGCAAATCTTTAAGAAAATTAAAAATATCCTCCCTTTGAGGGCTAAAAATTGGAAAATAACTATAAAGAGGAAACTAGATCAGAAGTACTTACCTTAATTTCTTGCTCTTTTGGTCCTCCAAAATGGACTTGCAGGGGGCACCCTGAACACATTTATGTAGGAACACAGTGATGCTGTTAGAGGTAATCCATCTACTTATCTCTTGGTATAAGTTTATAATTATATATGTAGTTCTGATGATTAAGTATGGCAATGCATGTGAAACTGGCAAAATATATACTTAATACATATTTAATCTGCTAGTAATTCTGTCAGGTAGCTGCTGCATCAGATTTATAGGTGAAGAAATTAAAGATCATGGAAGTAAGGTCATTTGCTCAAAGCAAATGATAAAGCTGGAATTCAAATCCAAGTCTGTTTGACTTCAAAGACTATGTTATTCTTCATATCATCTCACCTACTTGGCCTACTTTAGCATTGAATCTGGGCCATATCCTAGACTTTTTTTTGTAGCGCTATGCCCAGGTATTAAATATCTCACTTGAAATGTCCACAGTTAAGGCACACTCCACATAACCTTAAATCAACTCATTTTCTTACTCCCCAAAGCACTTCCTCTCTGATATTACCTATATCGATATAATCCACCGCTCGTGTTCATAGACATAAGCTGGAATTTTCTTCAGTTCCTTCAGCTTATTTATTCCCCTATCCAATTGGTTGTAACCTTGCTTCCTATGCTCATTTCTTCTCTGTGCTGCTTTCCAGAGCTTCTGTTTATCTGTTCTCAAATGGGGAAGAGCAGTATCATCCCAATCGATCTCCTTGTTACGGGCTTTTTCTCATGTAATCTACAACATGCCGTATTTTAAAATTTGCACTCTTATTACCAATTTCCAGTGTTTAGATCTTTTGATGGCCTTAGGTGGATTGTAGGATAAGGTGTGAACTTTCTAGCATAACACATTTGACCCCTGTTTGGGCTCTTGTCTTCTGTTCACCTTCATCACATGGTACTTCTTCAAGTATTTCCCTATGTATTAGCAAATTCTAAATCCTGGCTGTAGCCTGTTATCTTCCAGTTTTTATTGTTACCTTAGCCTGGACTACTCTTCCTCTCACCTTCTTGTAAACTCCAAATCACTTTCAAGATCATCCTGAAGTATATACACATAAGCACTCTCCCTGGTCCATCCAGCAGAGTCAATATCTGCCTTCTTGTGGTCATTATTGTGCTCAGTACTCCACATTGGAGTCTTCTGTTTACGTTGTCATGGACAGAATAATATGTAGGATATTGTACACTTTATTTTTGTGTTCATATCACCACATACTGTCTTGGTATATAATGTTAACTATGCACTTACTGCCTAATTTTTCTTGTTTATGTTCTTGTTAGTGTGTGCTTGTATTCTTTACTTTGCTAAGTGGATTGTAAGCACTCTGAAATAAGGGTCTGCCTTTTTGCTACTCTTTTTAAAAGTATACACTAGCGCTCAACAAATACCTGTGGAATGAATGAATTAATTCAGCAAGATGTAACCGTAGAAGTTTATTATGGCACGCTAATATATCTTGAATTTTCTGCTAATAGGCTATATAATTTCATTATAGTATTGCTATTATCAGAGAGAACTGTAGTCATTCATTACTGTTGGGACAAAAAAAAATGGGTCTAGAAAGCTTAGATAGAAGAATGGGCCCAAGATGAGGCTGAAAGGGAGAGACTGATACGGCAAATATTAAATTTATATGTGTAGGGAGAATTTGAGATAGAAGGAATGGAAGGTACTTTTAGAGGATCAGAGCCAATATGAACTAAATTGTTGACTTTTATTTGGTTATAAAATTTGTTATGATCATTGATTTTTTTTATTCCATCATTGATATGGTGCTCTGTTTGTTGGATGGCTGCTTTGTTGATATGGTTAAAGTTGTTTTGATATTGTCAAGATGCTAGAGGGGAAGGCCTGCAATGCAATAAATAATGTTCTCAAGACTGTGCCTGTGTGAAGGGTTGCTGTTGGGGGAATTCTTGATAGGCTTTCTGCTCTAGAGACTGCACAGCAGATCACTGGATAATTGTCACCACAGTGGCGATCCCTCCGCTGGGAGACTTCCAAAGTCATATTGCTTGGCTGCCCCTGCAGAGCTTTTTATTGTGGACTGTGTCTGCTATGATGTCACTTTAAGAGTACTCAAAGGACTGCACAATTTCCACTGTTTCATGTGAATGCTCTGTTTGGGTTTATTTGGAAATAATCAAGCAGTATTGAATTATTTTACTAGTCATACATCAGGAGACCATGGAAACTGCTACATTTAACTCTCAGCATAACTTTTACCATTCAAAATGTTTGTTTTGTTTTAAAAATTTCTGTGTTGTTAGTATGTGTTTTAGTATAAGTAATAGTGATCATAAAAATCATAAAGACACAAAAATAACTTCCTCAATGTAATGCCTCTAAGATTTTACTTAATTTCATGTTTTTTTGTGGTAGTGGGGCTTGAACTCAGAGCTTACACCTTGAGCCTCTCCACCAGCCCTTTTTTGTGATGGGTTTTTTTTGAGATAGGGTCTCCTGAACTGTTTGACTGGGCTGGCTTCAAACTGAGTTCCTCCTAATTTTGCCTTCTGAGTAGCTAGAATTACAGGCGTGAACCACCAGAGCCTGGCTTAATTTCTGTTTTTTAATTTGAGTATATATAATTAAAATTTCAGTCTTAAGATGATATATTCAGTTGCTGTTGGCCAAAGGTACTGAAATTCTAGGACGTTTAAGTAGCTGATTGTAGTAAGAAAAGTGTTTGAAATTGACTTTGAATAATATTTGCTGAGTAAATGAATCTGTAGTGATACTAGAACTTCTGATTTTTAAGGATACCATAGCATAGGTCTTTTAGATTTTTGTGGTTACAGAATCTTTTGAAAAATTGATAATATATGGATTACCTCCATTATCTTTAAGAAAATAAAAACAGAAGCAATAACAAAATTCTCAAGCCTATTCACAGGCCCCATGACACAAGTGACCTTGTAAAAACAGTTTTGTTTCATGAATGTGTTGGCTTCTAGGTGTCTGGTTCACTTATTCAATATATATTTTTTAATATTTGATGATAAAAATTAGAGATAAAGGCAGAACAGGTTCTGCCTGGAAGCGAGGAGGGGTGGGTGGGAGTGGGGTGGGGGAGAGAAATGACTCCAAACAATGTATGCACATGTGAATAAATGAATAAAAAAATTTGATGACAGTTACTATATACTGGCTACAACTTATTTCCTGGTATATGACCTCAGAACACATAGTCTAGTGGGAAATGCAAATGAGTTAAAGAAATTTAGAAAGAGGTCTAGAACATTCCTGAACTGATAAGGAGCCTAAACAACGTTTTGTAATAAATTATTTTCAACAGAGTGGAGGATGTATAATAACACTTTGGGACTAGAGTATGTGAAATTTGAAAATTTGTTTGTAAATGTTTTGATGCAGTCCCTTTACCATGGGTGTCCTCTGTGTACCCTACCACCACCCACTAAGAACCATTATTACTGATACTAACTAAAGCTATGGAAATGGGCACCATTGTCCAGGAACCATATGTGTACTGAGGAAGAAGTCATGGGAAGGAAAGTTTGAGAAAGACCAAGGTCAAGTATTCCATGCACAATGAAGCAGTAGCCAGAGAGGTACAGAGAAAACCAGAATATCCTAGAACATAGAAGTTCCAAGATGGAACAAGAAAGGAGTAGTGCTGCTCAGAGTGACAGTGTCAGCAAAGATTCTGGCTTTAGTAGGAATAAGTTCATGAAGTAAAAATATCTAAAATAGATAAATTGAGACACCGAGGTAAAGGAAGCTGAAAAAATACTTAAATTACTTAAATACCTATTGGTAAAAAAAAACAGTAAGAGGAAAAGGTAGAGGATACAAGAAAGATGAGGCTAACTATACACTAAGGTCTTTAAGAAGATTCAACAGTGTGGTCTATAAGGCAGTTCACAGGACTAGCCTTAAGTAAGGAGAAACGTGTATCTCAGTAGAACAGGAGCAAAGGGTATTGCACACACAGCTGTGTGTTTAGATTTGGTGGTGCTCAGTTGAGATTACAATAAACCAGCCCCTCCCATGTGAGTTAGATAACCAGGTCATTTGCTGAGAGTGCGCATTTGGATGGTGACTTTGAATGGTTAGAAAGTGACAGAAAGAGAGTTGCTTAGAAAAACACAGATACATTTCCACGTCTCTTTGAGGGCCCAGATGAGGGTGGTGATCAAGAATTTGATGTTTAGACATGAAAAAGTGCTCCCCATCTCTAGCCATAAAGGAAATGCAAATCAAAACCACACTAAGATTCTACCTCACCCCTGTTAGAATAGCCATCATTAGAAACACCACCAACAACAGGTGTTGGAGAGGATGTGGGGAAAAAGGAATCCTCATACACTGCTGGTGGGAATGCAAACTAGTACAACCACTCTGGAAAGAAATTTGGAGGCTTCTTAAAAATCTAAACATAGATCTGCCATATGATCCAGCAATCCCACTCCTGGGGATATACCCAAAAGACTGTGACACAGGTTACTCCAGAAGCACCTGCACACCCATGTTTATTGCAGTGCTATTCACAATAGCCAAGTTATAGAAATAGCCAAGATGCCCCATTACTGATGAATGGATCAAAAAATGTGGTATTTATACACAGTGGAATTCTACTCAGCCATGAAGAAGAATGAAATGTTATCATTCACAAGTAAATGATGGAACTGGAGAACATCATCCCGAGCGAGGTTAGCCAGGTTCAGAAGACCAAAAATCGTATGTTCTCCCTCATATGTGGACTTTAGATTTAGGGAAAATACAGCAAGATGACTGGACTTTGGTCACATGATAAGGTGAGAGCACACAAGGGAGGTATGAAGATAGGTAAGAAACTGAAAAAACATGATAGTATTTGATGTCCTCAGTGCAAAGGAACTAATGCTGAAACTTTAAAGAGACAGAGGCCAATAGGAGAAGGGGATCAGGAATTAGAGAAAAGGTCAGTTCGAGAAGAATCAACTTAGAATGTAACACATATATACTTGGAAGCAGTGCTAGGAATCTCCCTGTATAGCTATCCTTATCTCAACTAGCAAAAACCCTTGGTTCTTCCTATTATTGCTTATACTCTCTCTTCAACAAAATTAGAGATAAGGGCAAAATAGTTTTTGCCTGGAAGCGAGGGGGTGGGGGAGAAGGGGAGGGGGCTGGGGGAAAGAGGGGGAAGAAATGGCCCAAACATTGTATGTACATATGAATAAATGAAAAAAAAAGAATTTGATGTTTAGGAATTATGAAGGATGAGGCACAGAGAAGTAAGATCATTTATTTAAAATTATTTATCTAGTATGTGCCATACTCAATTCTGGGAATCAAATCTAAGCCTATCCAGTTCCAAATTCTAAAAAACTTCATGTAAAATGTGAGGCCATTCTGGTAGCAGCAGTGTTCAATTGTTATAAAATGGTGGTAAGGTGTTTTCTCAGGTGAGGGGTTTCCTGCAAAAAGCCAGGTCTAGATAAGTTCTCACCTGGCACTGTACAGCCAACCAGGGTGAGCTCACAGCAGGGAGAGGAAGCCCGGAGTCACAGCATGTGCAGAGGCACCATTTCTGTGACAACCAGCAGCTGCTATTAACATTTTGCAGAGTGCATTGGAGAAAACAATATTTTATTTATATTTAGTGATGAGAGTGACCGATAATGCATACTTACAGTCCTTACACAAAGCACTTAGAGATAGTGATTGAACATCTGTTTCAGGTATTAGCAAAAGTAACCATCCTTTCAGAATGGGGGGGTGGGGCAAAGAGGAGAGGTCTGAAAAATAGCCAGAGGAGCCAAACTCAGGAGAAAGACTTGTCCTTCAGCTATGGCTGAGGGTGTCACTAATTCTTTCATGGGTAGAGAGGTAAGAATCACATTTAATGGTTTTGTATTTGTTTTATTTTTTATGAATTTTTTATTAAGAAATATTCATTATGCATGAGGGATTCATGGTGACAATTCCAATTAGACTTGTATTGTACATTACATTGCCCCACTCATCTCTCCCCCAAGCCTCCTCCCCACCCCACTTAAAGCAATTGCAAGAGGTTAGTTAGTTCTGTTTCATAGAAGTATTGGAAGTTCATCAACCATATACCGTCACCCTAATCTCCTTCCTTCACCCTCCCCCTTCCCACTAATACCTCCTCTCCACTCTCCGCACACACTGTGCCTATTTTTCAATCCTGATTTTTGTTATTAATATTTAAGTTCATGTTCAAAGGGTGTCTCAATGTGTGCCCTCTGTGGGTGTGCTTTACTTTGGTCTGTTCAATCCCTTCAAAAACTCTCCCTTACCCCTTTAGCTCCCTCTCCCCTATTTTTCAACACTTTTCAATACAAATCCTTATATCCTCCACCTTCAAATCTTATGTTATGCGATATTACTGATGCTCTGTCGTTCTCTTTTCCTTTCCCTCTTTCCCCAAGTTCCGTAGAGTAGTTCCACTGTTAAAAACATGTTCAAGGCAGGTGTAGGTGGCTCATGCCTTTAATCCTAGCTATTCAGGAGGCAGAGATCAGGAAAAAGCCAGCCTGGGCAAATAGTTCATGAGACCCTATCTTGAAAAATCCTATCACAAAAAATTGGGCAGGTGGAGTGGCTCAAGTTGAAGGCCCTGAGTTCAAGCCCTAGCACTGCAAAAAAAACCAAAACAAACAAACAAACAAAAAAACAAATTTAAGTTTGTATATGATCTTGCTTGTTTTTGTATATATGTTTATCTTTGGATCTATCTTCCCTGTATGAGGGAAAATATGTGTCTTTTGTGTTTCTGAATGGTTCTGTATTTGTGACTTGCATGCCTACAAATACTAGCTATGGGGCCCTGGGAAAGTTATTTAAAGATTTTCTGCTTCACTTTTTTTTTCATTTATAAAATGGTTTGCACACAAAGAAAGCTGACCCAAAAGAAAACTTGTAAACTTAGATATATTTCTAAACCAACAAATAATGACAATAAATGAAGTCTTAATTGAAGAAGTCAAGAACAGAAGGATAAATGTAAAATTTTAATAAATTAATTAATCAATAAAGATTAGTAGATAAATTAATGAACCAGCAAATATAAAATGTAAAATATAAAAATAATTGCACTGATAAGTAGAATTTTAAGCTAATTTTTAGATGAGGTGGAATGTAGAAAATGCATATACACAGGAATGTAGTCACAAGTAACTTGATAAAACAAAGCTTACACATATGCAGAAGTGGGTTAAATTCTTTAATATTCAAAAAGTTTTCAGAAATCAAGGAAAATCTGAAAGAGCCCATTGAGAAACAAGTAAGAGATTTGACTGTATAACTTTCAAAGGGAAGAAAAAAAAAGACTTGCACACCCAGAGTGGATAGCTTAGGCAAGAATCATCTATTATAGAATAAAGTCTTAATAATGCTTCCATTGATGTTTTTCTGATTGACTATGGTACATACTATAAAAATCTGGACATCAATGTAGAAAGTGTCTATGAAAAGTACCCATTATCAAAAACCTCTATTCTACAGGAAGTATGAGCTTCAATGACAAATTAACTCCTAAAGAAACTCAGAATTTCAGGGAGATTCTGTCACTACATAATACATATATTTAACTAATCTTAGGCAAGAAACAGTGAAATAAATGAAATGAAATAGATGAAAAATACATAAAATAAAACAGATGAAAGGGAATAAATCAAATTAAATATAAACAGCAGAAATATATGAAGAACTTTACTTTTTTATTACTGTTTTATAGGCTCTGTATCATGGACCAAATTTGAAAGCAGTTTTGAACATGTATCAGGTGCAAATCCACCGTGTTAGACATCGGCTTGGTCTTTGGAGGACAAGACAAGTCATAAACTTTGTAGAGCTAGAGGAATGGATGGACAGGAAAAAATGTAAGTGATGCCGTCATTTCTGGTTTGACTTTAGGTTTGGGATTCATTTTTAACCATTGAACTTTATAGATAGTTACCCATTGCCACCAAAAGTGGGCTGTATTTTATATTCCTTCTTGCCTTGTATGATTGGATTAGTTTATTAGGATTCTCTATGAGCAAAAGAAAACCCATTCTGGCTAACCAAAGAAATAAAAGAAAATTTAAAGACAGAATATTGAACAGTTGACTAAAGAAGTAGATTTCAGACAACATATGAATCAGAGCTGCTCCAGAAACCTATGGAGTGGGAAGTAAGAAATAATCTTTATTTGATTGAGGAGCAGGGATACACAAGTCTCTATCACTTTAGACTTTTTTGTTCTTATGCTTTAAGTTCAAATTCCAGGGAGACTTCAACTGATTGATTTAGTCTGAGTTATAATTCTAGCACTTTGTAGTGGGAGGGCTGGGAACCCTGAGAGGCTCTGCCCGTTGGAGGAGGAGATTTTTACCCAAATGAAAATTAAATATTGATACCGGATGAACAGTTAATGGCCACTGAGCAGACTAACCAGTGCTCCTTAGCACTGGGGTTCTATCCATAGAACAAGGTCCTCAATTTATATCTCAGCTGTCAGAGATTTCAATTTCCATATCTATTTATAAGTTTAGTATTGTCTAGGATTAGAATACTTTATTGACCTACTCCATTGACTAACAAAAAATAAATGGTACAAGTAAATTACATTTAATTGTAATCATCTTATGGCTTTATAAAATTAAAAGTAGTATATATTTGGTAGCTCAGCTAGTGATAAAATGTTTGTTTCATATTTAGGACTGTAAGTTCCATGAAGACAGGTACTATGACCATCAAATGAATACCCACTATTTAGCATATGCCTAGTTTATCAAATGGGCAAAAATAATTTGTTAAAAATTAGGTGTCAAATGTATTCTAAAATAACCATAATTCTTTGAGCTAGAATAATTCATTTCCTGTGTCTAGAGATTGAAGAAGAAAGAATTTCAAAGAGAGAAAGCAAGTATTACAGGGAGAAAGAGAAAGCAAGTGTGAGACAGAGAGAAACTGAACCCCCTTTCCTGTTAGGAAGCTGCTGGGACTTTTTTTACTTAGAGAGCTTCAGAGAGTTAGGGGGAGGGCAGGAGAAAAGCAGGGAGAGAGAGAGAGAGAGAGAGAGCCTGAGAGAGAGCCTGTGGATATATAGAGGAAGAATATTCTAGTGTTGGGGGAAGCCAGGACACTGGTTTTACTAGAATTGAGTTTGTGAGTGAGAAGAGAGAAAAATGGGATTGGAGAAGTAGGTTACACCATATTTCATCAGTCATTGTGTTTTACCTTGACAGTGTTGGAAGCTATTGGAAGATTGCAGACAGAGAACTATAGTATTGACTATAGGCTTACATTGAATACATCACTCTGGCACTCTGAGAAAAGGCTGGTAGGGAGCAAAGACCAAATAAAGGCATGCAGTTAGGACATATGGTGCTGTATCCAACATATGATCTGAACAATAGAATAGAATTAGCAAAATGACTAATTTAAACCAAAACATCCATTTACTTTTGTGGTTACAGCCCACAAAATTTGCAAGTTCTTATTCATCTTCATCTTCCTTACAAATTTTTCCTCCTTTCCTGCATTTCTTGCTAGTTCTGTGATATTTGTCAGATAGCTATGCAGCTTTTAAATTATTTTTCAGTCATTTGATAATTATATTAGTTTTCATGATTTAAGTTTTATATTTACTCTGGTTATGCTAGCCTGGTATATTAATTCTTCTAATATGTTGCTGAAAGTTTGCCTCTAGGGCATAATATACAGGTTGTGGACATCATTACCTATTAATATAGTCACAGGCCCATAATGTTAATATATACATAATTTTGACCTTATAAGAAACATCTAAAACTGGTTCAAGGAAAACTAATGTGCTTTTCCAAGTAGAAATATATTAAACAAAAGAGTAAAAAATCTCATTCCTTGTGTATTAGTTTAGCTTTCCTCAGAATTACATGTAGATATAACAATTCAAGTACAATTGATTCATTTGGGAGTCATTCCCAGAAAATACTGTCAGTGAAATGGAGAACTGAGAAAGGAAAGTCAAAACGGTCAAAAAGGAAAATAGTGCAGCCATCTTGCCTCAAATGCTGGGTTATTATCCAGTCATCTCCCTCTCTCTGCACCCTTCTCAAGTAGGTGATTGAGGTCTATTCCAGTGTGGTCTTAATTCCCTGATACTTCAGTACCAGGTGAGCACAGTAAATTCCTGTGCAACAAGGAGCCCTTAGGCAATGGAATGCAGATGCATTTCCACGTCAAAATGCAAAGAAAAGTAAGAGAGAAGGAGATGTGACCAGGACACCAAAAGCAACCACTTCACTTTGTTTATTTAAAAAAAGAGAACAATGCATAGAGTAAATATAAGTTTGTTTTACTAATGTGTTTTGAGATCTGGAATAGCTACTCTTATTTAGGTTAAATACTTAGTGTAATATTTACTAAATACTTCTGGAATTTGTTGATATTTCTCATCACCATCTCCCTCAACTGGATGATTGTTTATTCATTATGTATTATGGAATGACTAAAAAATCAAAACCTATGTGATTTAGTGCCAGGATGATACAAGTTCTGTTAGAAACCACTCTTGTGCCTACTATTGTCATTAGAAGCCCACATTTCAAAGTGAAACCTAAAAGTAAGTGGTCCCTGTCGTCCTGTAAATGAGACTAACAGCTTCATGGGGTTAAGCCAACATGCTTCAGAGTAGAGACTTAATATCATCTTTTTAAAAAGAAAGAATAAAATGTTTATGGAGAATTATACTTACAAAGCTATGCATCAGTTCTCCTGGTCATTATGTAACCCCTGTCAGTAAGAATGGAAGATAGATGATAGATGATCCAACTAAGTGATTTTCCATGTTAGTCTTGAGCCAGAAATGGCAAAGCATCTTAAATTAGGAAGTAGGAACATATGAAATCAGTGAGCAAAATGTAGACATTGCTTCCAATTAGGGGCCAAATCAGAAATAGGATAAGCAGTCCAAAGTGGAATCAGCAATTCAAGTAGTTGAGAGTATGAGTTGGAAACCAAAAAGAAATGAAAAAAATTAGAGGAATTAATAATGCAGACTGAAACCAATTAACAGGAGTCAGGTCCTGAAATTCTGACATTACTGGCAAAGATGTGGAAAAATTATCTTTCATACCCTGTTGGTGAGTTTGTAACCATGTGTAGAAAAAACTAAAAATAGAGCTACCATATGATCCAGCTATCCCACTTCTGGGTATATGTACAAAGGAAATATAATCAACATGCCAAAGAAATGCCTGTGTGCCTATGTTTATTGAAGTGCTGCTCACAATAGTTTAGGGTACAGAATCCTCCTAGGTATCCATCAGTGGATGAATGGGTAAAGAAAATGCAGTATATACATATAATATGGTGTTAGGCAATTATGAAGAAGAATGAAATTCTGTCATTGAGGAAAACAATGGATGGAACTGGAGGACATTATGCTCTCTATCCATAGAAAGATAAGTACCACGTGTTCTTTCATGTGTGGAAGCTAAAAAAAAAATTTATCTGAAGGTAGAATAGTGATTACTAAGATCGGGAAAGGGGAGGAGGGGTGGGTGAAGGGAGCCTGGATTTGATCAGCTTGTACACTATATTGAAATATCTCACTGAACCCCATTAATATGTATAATTAAAACATACTAACCAAAAAAATCAAGCCAGTTATGGTCAGACAATATCTGTAATCTGAGCACTTGGGAGGATGAGGCAGGAAGATGAGGAGTTTGAGGCCAGTCTGGGATACACACAGAAATTCTGTCTCAAAAAATAGAAAACAAACAAACAAGAACATTTTAAAAAGCTATGGGTTATGCTGTGGGTCTAGTGTTGATATGTGTAGGATCTGTGTTCTTGGGAAGTCCAATCTGAATTCCATTGTTGTGGAATGGATTGTGGGGGGAGATGCCTTCCTTCTACCCTTAGCCAGCAGGGTGACATCAAGCTGCTGTAATCAGAGAGGCTTATCTGCAGGCATGAAAATAAACTGGATTAAAGTTTCTTCATGTCCAGAAGAACCTTTTAGGTGACTTGTACTTGGTTGGTTTCTCCTTTCCTTTCCCTTTCCTTCCCTTCCCTTCCCTTTCCGTCCCTTCCTCCCTCCCTTTTTCTTTCATCAAGTGCTCTACCATTTGAGCTGTGCCCCCAGCCCTAGACAGCTTGGTACATTATTTATAAACAAAATATCTTCTTTTACCTTTTTGGATTTTTAGTCTATGAAACAATGTTTGCCAAGAGAGAAGACTGGCAAGGATTAGAAAGAAGTGAGCTCCTTAAGTATTTCAATGACTGTGGCCATTTCCCAACCCAGCAACAAGTGGACGATTTTTGGGAACTGTTCCATAGAGGTAAGTAGCGTCTCATGTCTTCTTTTCCTTTCTTTTATTTCCACTTCCTTCTTTACTCTCTCCCTAATTCCCCTTATTCTGCCTTCTTTCATGTTAAATTTGTTTAAAAAGATCTTTTACTCAAATTTCTTTCTTTCCAAATTTAATGGCTATGAAGGAAGGCAGCTTAAAAGAAGTTAATAAAGTTTCATTTTGAGTGAATGAAGGAGGTAATTTTAACTTTTATTAACTTTTAAAGTTACATGTGCATATATTTATGTACATATATGTTGTGGGTTTTTTTGGTAATACTGGGTTTTGAACTCAGGGCCTTCACACATGTTAGGCAGACACTCTACCATTTGAACCAGGCTCCAAGCCCTTTTTGCTTTAGTTATTTTGGGGCAGGTTTCCAATCATTCCCCAGCTGCCCCCCACATTTGTGCTCCCAAGGGCATCAATACTCCAAGCCTAGGGGTATCCCCTGAATGTGTCAGAGAGTGGGGAAAGCAAACAAAGCACTGAGTTCTGCACTGGAGAGACAACCAGGGGAATCAGGTACTGCTTGCCTGTCTCAGCACTTTCAGACCCTGATCAGGATAGACCAACCTGTGGGAGGGAGGAGGCTCGGGAAACTGAGTGATCCATAGGACCTGGACTCAGAGTTCTCGGTCCTGCCTGACATCAAAACTAATGCAGCTGAGACGAAGCTTCCTGACACTGAGAAGCCCACCAACAGTGGACTCAGTGCTATGTTTCTGCAGCAATTCTCAGGAAATAAGGCTGACTCCTTGTCACAAAGGGTGGGGTCACCAACCACTACACCCTTCACTGTCCATAGTGGCTGCTGCTTAAATTTCTCAGTGTGCACACATCAGACCATCCGTATCACCCAGTCACCGTGGCAGGGGAAGGGTGTCCTCAGGTGCAATTGTTCCTTATTTTTAGGTGTAATTTTCCTTGTTTTCAGGTCCCCTGAGTAGTTCATTCTTAAACTATAGGCCCCCTCTCAAGATGGTACCTTGCTACAGCTTTTTGAGTTTTAGCAAGTGCCAAACTGTCTTTCTTTCCCAATGCTAGCCTGCCAACTGTTGCACCAATTTCTCTCATTACATTTAGGGCTTGCAAGAACTATGGGCTTGTCTTGCAGCTAGGACTGCCAGTCTGTTTTCACCAGGGCTTCCTAGCTTGCCCTGTGAGTGTGGCTTCAGCTTTCTGTCCTCCCCAGGGAGCCAGAGTTGGAGCTGGGGGTTGGTTCTCACTTTTCTCTGTCTTGCCTTTACATTCCCTGTGACTTTTCACAATCAGGATATCTCTTTTGTGATTCCCAGTGCACTTCCTGTCTTTGGAATGTAGTCTGTCCTTCATTTCCCTACCCTTCTCGTTCAGAGTTGCACAGAGGACGCTCCTGTTCTGCCATCTTGCCTCAGAAGCCTTTTTGTTTGGTCTTACAGTAGTTCTGTAATTTAAATTGCTCAAGAAGCTTCCATACTGTGTTCTATAAGGGCTGTACCAATCTGCAATCTTACCAACAGTCTTCACAGGTTCCTCTTCTCTGCATCTTCACCAACCTTTATCTTTTATCTTTTGGTGAAAATCATCATAACATGTGTAACGTGATATCTCATTGTGGTTTTGATTTGCATTTCCCTAATTATTAGTGATATTGAGCATTTTTTCATATACCTATTGGTCATTTGCATTTTTCTTCAGAAAAAAAGTTCAGGGCCTTTACCCAATTTTTAATTGAATCATTTTTGGCACTTAGTCTATTAAGTTGTATGACTTCCTTATATATCTTGGATATTAACATATATGGTCTGCAAATATTTTCTCCCATTCTAGAGGTTGTCTTTTCTTTTTTTATTAATTGCATTTGTTGCTGTATAGGTTTTACTTTGATCTACTGTATAGAAGGTTTTTACTTTGATCCACTGTTTTATTTGTTTTTCTTTTTGCATTGTTTTGTTTGTTTTAGGGGCAATATCTAAAAAATCATGGAAGACCATTGTCTATGTGCTTTTCTTCCTATATTTTCTCATAGGAATTTTATGGTTTCTGAATTTATAGTTAAGTCTAATCCATTTCAAATTAATTTATATGGTATAACACAGTATCCAATTTTATTCTTTTGCAAGTGTATGTATGCACAGTTTTCCCAAAAATGGTTACTGAAGATATTGTCCTTTCCGCATTGTGTAGTCTTGATACTCTTGTTTACGATCAGTTGCCTATATATGTGTGGGTTTATTTCTGGAGTCTCTATTTTGCTCCATTGGTCTGGGCTCTCTCATTTTTTCTACTTGTATGTTTTTATTTCTGTATCATACTGTTTTGAATACTACAGATTTGTAATATAATTTGAAGATAGGAAGTGTGATGTCTCTAGCCCTGTTCTTTCTCAATTTTGGTTTGGCTGTTAGGGGCTTCTTGTGGATCCACACAAATTTTAGGTTTGTTTTCTCTAAAATCCCACTGCAATTTTGATGGGGATTTCATTGAATCTGTAGGTCACTTTGGGTAGCATGGACATTTTAGTATTAATTCTCCCAATCCCTGAACATAAGATATCTTTCCATCTATTTGTGTCTTCAATTTCTTTTCTTTTCTTTTCTTTTTTTAAATTTCCAAGTTACTTTATTAATTCTCTGAATCAGTCAGCCCAACACATGTTGTATAGGAGATCCTCCAACATAAATTGTGGCCAACAGCCAAGTCCTCCACTCCCAATGGTAAGTGCACATCCTCCAAGATACTCTAGTTTTTCTGCAATGGATATCTATGAAGAACTCTACATCCAGTCTGACTAGCCACCTTCCTATCAGTTTCTTATAAGAAGATCCAACATGAACATCTTCTAGAGTGCCTTTTCCAATGTTACCAACTACATGTAGCTGTTTAGGTATAAACTGAGGGCTGGCCACATGGCACAAGCAGTAAAGCACCTGCCTACCAAGCGTGGAGCCCTGAGTTTTCAATTTAGAGAGCTTTCACCTCCTTGGTTAAAATTATTCCTAAGTATTCTATTTTCTTGATGTTATTGTGAATAATATTGTGTTCTTATTTTCTTTTAAACATAATTTGTTGTTACTTGCTGTTACTGTAGAGAAATGAAACTTATTTTTGTGTGTTAGCTTTCACTAATGCTCTCCTAATGTTACAGGTTTGCTGACATGTTTAGAGATGATGTGTCCACAATTTAATCAAAAAGAAATGGCACTAGTGGGAGGGGGAGGGTAAATAATGAACAGAAAGGAGAATGTAGTTGATGTACTTTCTATACAAGTGTGAATTTAGAACATTAAAGCCTACTGAAGCCTCCATAAGACAGGAAATGAGGTAGGAAGGAGAACAGTGGAAGGTATGAACCAATTCGGGTTATAATACATGTATATATGGATACATCACAGGGAAAACCCCTGCATAACTACCATAAACTAACATTTAAAAAAAAACAAAAAACAAAGAAGGACAGGAATGTATAACATGCCCTCTCTGGGGGTAAGTACCAATGGGAGGGAGAAAGCATAAGGAAAGGATAAAGGATGAATATGGTGGAAGTATTTTGTATTCATGTATGAAAATGAGACAATCAAGCCTGTCTAAGAAGGAAAGAAGGGGGGGATAAAGGAGAAAGATAGAGGGGGTAAATCTAAGATATATTGTAAGCACCTATGTAAATGTCACAATGTACCCCTCTATACAACTATAATGTGTTAACAACATTAATAAAAAGAAATGGTAAACAAAAATATTTCAGGATATATTTTTTTGATAAAGGATAAAGGCTCATAGCAGTTAGGTATGAGTTAACTCATAATGTTGATATTGAAGCTTTATTATATTTTTGAAGTTCCCTTCCTTTGGCTGATAGTACACATTTAGCCAATTCTTAACCTATGGACTTTGACTGCTTGTATGAGAATAAAAGTATTCTTACAGTTTTCTACACTTTCACATTGATGAATATTTGTTCACCTATTGGGCAGAGGCATCCAAATCATTTCACACATCAGTGGTCATGAAAAGGTTGGTTATTTGATTTTTTCCTAATGACAAAATATTGAATATTGAAAATGTGGAAAATATTGTGATATATAAAATTCCTGAGAAACTGTAATGTTTAACATCTAATTATAACTTACCACTCTTTTCCTGTACATATGACATTATTTTTATGAAACTCTTTCTATATATTGTTTGAACATCTGTTTTTTGGCTTCACAATACTCACAAGTTTCCAAGCTACAAATATATTTTACAACATTATTTATGACTAAATAATAATCTTTCATATGGACATTCCATAGTGTATTGCTATCATATATTTAAGTTATTTCTATTTTCTTTATAATAAATAAATAATAAAAAATTTTAAATTAAATGCAACAAACTATAATCAAACAAATATTTCATAAATAACAGATTAGCAATTTAAAATGTAGGGCTTTTCCCAAGGTAAGGGTTTCATAGGGATAATTTCCTATGCTAATTCCTTTGGCGTATATTATGATGGGTTAGATTTACAGCATGGCTCTGGAATTAGTTGGCTGGCTTTACTTCTTGGCTCTATCACTTACTAGCTATCTGTCTTTGGACCAGTTTTTGTACCTCCTTTTCCTTTTTCTTCTCAAGTATAAAAGGCAGATGATATCCAAGTCGCTGGACTGCTGGAAGTCACTAGGTTTATGTGGAGTCACACAAAATACGTGGTCTAAGATCATATCTGCCCTTCATCTATTAGTTATTCTTATACATTCTTATAATTGTTTTCCAGTTATTTTTTTAATAAGACATTGACAATGTTTAAATATTGAACATATTTGTATGTTGACTCATTTTTTTCTAGCGATTTGATATTAAATGTCATCTGTTGACTTCTCATTGTCATCTCTTTCAACAATCATAATGACCTTTGTGCTAAAGGAGATGAAAGACAAATAAGACAACTGAGGCTCAGAAAGAAACCTTTTAAAGGTCATTGATAAACCTAGAACTTCAACCCTGGTCTCCTCACTCCAAGAT